CTCCCCCCCCCCCCCCCAAAAAAAAAAAAAGAAAGAAACCACCGTTTTTTTTCATATACCGACCTGTGATTATTCCCTGTTTTTATGCACGAACGCAGCCGTAAATCTTACTTTCCCATCTCACATCAGATCACAATGCTGGCTGTACCGTTGTCCGGTCGAGGGGAAAGTTCGCTGGATCCGGCCGTACTACTGGAGATCCCTGTCGAGTCAACCCGGACCACAGAACCGGAGTTGTGTAAGTCTCCTCAAGGATTCGCTTAATACTGCACACACACACACACACACACACACACACACACACACACACACATATATATATATATATATATATATATATANCTTGAAAACGAGCATGGTGCCAACGCAACAACAATGACAGTGAAGGGGATAGGTGGATTAGGATACAGAACATGGTGAAAAGTGGGTGAGACAGTTAAACATGGAAAATACAAGATAACAGAATTTTTTTTGTGTGTTTCACCGTACACCTTTTGCAATTTTTTTGTATATATATATATATATCGTTTGTTCGATCGAAAGCGGCGATTACCGGGATATTTTATTCCGTTTCAGGCGGATTTTGTTTCATCCGTATTTCTCCCACTACTGAACTTTTTCAAGAGTCCGAATTCGCTAGTTCAGTTCCATCACCAAAACAGCAGGTTATCGTGATTATGGGGTTCACCCCGTGTGCTGTTCATCACACGAAAAGTGGGCGTATTAAAAAAAGTCGACTTGTACCAATTGACAATAGGTTCAGTGGTAATTTGTTGTTCGGTACCCTACCGTTCCCACTGCAGTGCTCGAGGTCAGAATCGTATGGATCTTAGTTCCAATGAAGTGGTTGGAGAGCTGAATGATTCTGAAACTCCGCCATTGACCGGGGGACCTTGGGATCATTTTAATCAACGGTTAGAGACACTGAGTGATGGAATTACTTGTCGTGAACAGTGGTTTTCGTGCCTTGTCACAATTTCTTTGCAACCTGAAACTCTTCATTCTCTATTCGACTCTACCTCCAACTTTCCTGTCCTCCGTCGGCTTCATCCAAATGGGTAGCCAAAATGTATCAATCAAAACCGGCACACGAAAGTGTATGGTTAATGCTTTTAGAGTCTTTAAAACCATCGAATCGATCGAATGTTTTAAACCGCTAAGTACCGTTTTCTATCCATGGTCTCATACTCGTCCATATCGATCGTGAAATCCTGGTCAGATTATTTTAGTTATCGATTCTCCGGACGTGTTCTCTAAACACAGCAACACCCCCTGACCTCTTTTTGTTGAGAGATCACTTAGATTAGGTGATAAAACTCACGGTGACCGCATCATAAGCGTAGTATTGAACCTTGTGAAAACCCGAAGCCGTATATTACCGAAATGGTACGCGTTTCACGCACCTATCTTTCTACCTATCAGTGTTGAGAACGGGAACGGTTCACGAAATCAAATACTGAACGGTCTTACACCTTTCTTGACGAACATTTAAGCACGCGAACGCAGTGAAACAACAGTCCCGCTGGAAACGGAAAGGAACAATGATTTTTCCCTGCGAACGAGAATTGTCCTACGCGTACGTGTTTTTTTCACACACACCCCCACCCCTCCCCCCTTCCCGTTTGCATGCGAATTTCGTACCTGGCCGACTAAGTTGTCCGTTGAACGAACAATCAAAAGATTTCCGTCCATCGATATTTTCAACAGTTTTTTTTTTTGCCTGCGCAAGACGGTCCATCTAGGTGATATTTACCTCACCATCACGACCTTTGCATCACTTAGTAGGCTGATCGAATGAGAGAATATGGATAAACTTTGGTCTCATGGAGGACTTTATTCAATTTCAAGGGTGAATTCGTCGTGTATATAGAGCAAATGAGGCGTGAACTGAAAAGCTAAGAAGCACTACTGGACAGCTGTTTTGACAGCAGTGCGAATCCATCGACCCAACTGGGGATCGAATCCGGGACCTCGCAGGTAGACGGCAAACTTTGGTGTCGCTGGATGAGTCGACCGGACTGGGCATTCTGTGTGGAATAATTGTGAATTTGCGGAAAATAGAGCGGGGGATTCCAATCTTACCCGGTTGGCTCACAAAACGATGCTCCAAATGTATTGTAAGCAGAGTGTGATATGACGAGGCGGTTTATTTTCGCGTCATCAAAGGCCCGGTACACCGAAACAAAGGACTCGGCCCACTTCTGTGATACACTAGCTGCATTGCAATCATCGCGAATGGTCTTACTGGCCAGTCAGTTGTTCATCGAAATCGATACATTTGTTTATCACATGTTCTGATTTTGTTCGTGTGTCTTTTCTCTCCTATCGTACCTGTAATATTCCACGTCTAGCTGTGCCAACTATTGTTTGTCACAGGTCGTTGTTATTGTCATTGGTGTCTTCAACAATAAACTGCTTGCCTCTTTGGCTGTTATGTTTTCCGTGGGAACACAGGCACAGATTATCTGCAGTTCTGTGCTGATTTACTTACCGGGATCTACATCTGCATATGATATGTATATCATATATATCATATATTTATCGCATTTATATCGATATATACAAACGAAAAATTCACTCAACGTTTGGGCAGAAAATAGGCACCCCCGGGAGCTGAGCGTTACCCCCAACTTGTTTGTCTACCTTCTCGGTTCATCAGCCTCGCTGATTCCTATTGTCGCGCTTATATGGTAACTCCCTGAATATTTTCGCATGATAAGGTTCTCTATTTTTTTGTTCAAAGCGTTCATCCGGCTCCGGAGCTGTCGAAAATCCTTCTCCTCCAATCTTCTATCGATGAAGTCCTACATGTTTTTTTTTTCTCGTTCTGGTTGAAATCTGGCGAGAAAGCTGACCAAACACGAGGGAAAGAACTGATTTCTTGGCAGGAAAGCGTGTTCACGAGAGAAATTTCTTTTCGATGTATATCGCATCAGGCGGTTTAATCAATATATGGCGATTATAGTACTGATCACAGCTCATTTTATAATGATAGTAGAATCGATCACACAGGGAGTAAGCGATTGTGACAAGGCTAGCAGTAATCAATGCTGTAGATTCGTGAGGGGAGGGTGAGAGAACGTAGGTCGTATAAAATCACGATCGAGACAGCTGAGGAGGCGACAGTGTACGGGGTGACGTTACGTGTGGTTTTGTGCTATTGCATAATCAAACGCAGGCGAATAAGGTTTCGCACTGTTAGTTGCCGTGTTCGCGAAATGAGGAAAAGATCCGAAAATGGAGTTCAGAACACGAGAAAGAGAGAGAGAGACAATGATATGTGAAGTCCAGCGATCGTTTGTTCGGCCAGGTGAGGGAAACAATCAGTTCACACTTCCTAGTTAAGTATATCGGTTCAGAGACTGTCAAGCGGGATATCTATGCTGAATATATCCTTCAAGTAGCAACCAATCCAAGCGACCGTTGTAACAACAATATTTGCGGAATCCGAAAACGGGAGGAACCATCCTGAATCTCGGTTCACAAAACTGCACACAATACTAACTACCTTTATCAATAACGCATTATCATAATCGAAGGTGTCAAAATTCCATATGTGACGCAAAGCTTGAAGACAGCTGAGAGGTGTGTCAGAACCGCAATCCCTCGGGCTGATATACAATTCAAGGTGTGTTCAATCCAGTTCGAAGCCCCGGCGAGCTGGTGTCCCTTGCCAGAACCAGGAAGATGTTGTGTGTGTTTTTGTGGTTAGTGCGCCCCTTCTTGGCTCTTTTGAAAACAGAGTTTCATGCTAATTATCACAGATGAACTACCAGTGATTGACCGACTCGGTTGCAGCCTCGCATGTTGATTTTTCGTCCACTCACGTCCGCCACGCAATTGTGTTGACTGCGGGTTCCTCAACAAGTGCTGTTTGAGATATTCGATTTTACGGGAACATTTCACGATGTACAAGGGAAGCGTTACTGGTCACCGTCCACGGATAGATACACTGAAGTTGCTTCGTCGTTGTTTCTGGCTTCACCATATAGGAGGTTGAAAATGTATTTCATTGACATCTCATGACATAAATATATAAATACATTGCTTTATATTATTCAAACTGAGTCTTTTTCCAATCTGGAATAATTGTATTGAAAAAAATAATCTGGTTTTCTGCGGTTGTGACCCGGTTTTTAACGTCATCAAATTATCACCCCGGGGATGTGTGTTCGAATCCCACCACCATCGCTTGATTTTGCCCATTCTGTGTATGTTGAACGACAGCCCTTTGATTGGCCGTTTCCCCTATCCTGAAAAGTGTATCTTTGTATATTCAATAAAAAGAATTAAAATGAGCACGAAGAAAGAAAGAAATACAGCTTCATTGTCTGCTTCCGCACAATCTCGTTTCAGTCGTTTTGAGACTACATGCTGATGTGATGGAAAAAAACATGACATTGATTTTGCTCCACGCAAACTTTTTATTCTACCGTTGAAAACTGTTTAGGTCTGCATGAGCAGGGCAAGCAAGCTTTGTTCAATTTCTGTGCCTTTATTTGGTACCATGTGCCCACTGTCACAGCGAACCGCATATGCTCAAACACGAGCACCTATTTCCCATTGTGTTAGTGTTCATACTATTCGTATACTTTGAATCGTACTGTGTGGGTGTGTGTGTGCGTGTGCATTTGGGTACACATGTTCAACTACGAAGTACACTGATACTTTCACATGATACTCAATCCAAATTCCTTCGAGATTGCCGCCCATTCATTTCATATTGTTCCCCTTTTGTAGACATCAATAAAATATTATTCACACGTGCACCGTTTGCTCTCATCCGGGCTCAGCATTACCCTCGATCGTGATGAGCTACCCTCACAAATTCTATACGATGATATATACAATGGGATTCACTTGTCACAAATCACGAAACAAAATAAGCACACTAGTCTCACCGTTCTCTTATCGCGATAAATTTGATCATTTCCTCTTGGTTACTCCGCTGTTTGTCGTCAAATTCTGACTAGGGATACGACAGCTACGCATCTACATATATATCATTTTGAGTTGTGACCTTGAAAACTAGGCATGTCATTGGCCATAGTGTACGTGTGCAGTCAGTGCTCAAATCTCGCATACATTGTCTCCCGGATCATGCCATCAGTATATTTTTCACAGGGTCACGTGTCAGCTTCTGATTTGCAATCGGGACTATTCGTGATCATTTCCATTGGGAATTACCGGGACTCCGTCCGTTTCATCTGTTTCGATGAATATGCTGATTCAGCCGGTAGGAGGTAAAATTAGTCAATGACTCA